CAGGCGCGGAGGACCAAAGGAAGAGGCGAGCAGACAGATCGGCAGAACAAAATAAATGAATCCGAATTTTGCTTAAGTGAAAGGAGTCGTTGAGTCGATGTGGTTGTAGGGTGCCCTCATTTCTGTTGCCAGTGATTTAGATCTTGCTTGCAGCTTCCCAACAGATATCCAGACCCATTTTTCCTTCCAACCCGTGTTTCGACTCGCAGTTTTGAATCTGGCAGTATCTGGCAGTTTTGAATCTGCGATGCCAAGGTAATCAAGCAGTGTCAGCAGTGTCACACGGGTACTCGTCAGGCATGGCAACGCAGTACTTCCTCACCGGCCGGGCCGTTGGCTTTGCGGACGAGCGGGAGCCCTTCCGGTTCATCCAAGGGCGCGGGCTGGGGTGGGTGGGGGGCTGCGGGCGGGGCCTGCTTTGAGCAAGGCGGTTGTCGCACATCTCTCGCTCCCAAAATGCCGGTTAAGCGCCAGAGAGATCCACTGTCAGCTTGATATCCAGAGAGTAAATGAGATAAGTCCAAATCGAGAGTCTAATTAATGTTGAATCCAGCCCTGAAACCTGTTCAATCTGGATGGTTCTAGGAAGCTTCAAAGTGACTTTCAACGCACATCTCGGGTTCTGGGAGGCATGTACACCAAAGTTGTTGGGCCCCTCGAAACTGGACATGCTCGGGATTCGCCAGGGTAGAGGAGGTGGTGGCCGCGAATGACACCTTCCTTACAGGTGGCGACCCAAGCTTGAGTTCTACATGGCTGAAAACACGGCACATGGCATGCCTGCCAAGTATCTTTGGAAAGTGCAAGCCTTAGACCCCAAAGTGATGGACAAACAGGCATCCCGTTCGCATGCCTAGTGCTTCCTTCACAGTACTCAACCCCCTTTTTGTTGAGCCGCAGTTGGATGTTGCGCGCATGAGTCTGATGTGAAGCTCATTTGTATGTGTTTTGCAAACTGACGATGAGGCTTAGAATGCCATTGGCAATGGCTCTGTCGTAATTTGCGACCAGACTTGGCTTTCGCTATCGTGCTCTGCGCCCGATGGTCGTTTTGGTCGTTTCGGTCGTTTCGCCATTTCCCTCTTGCTTCGCCCAGTGGCCGGCATGGCCATGGCGCTGGACGGCATCCGCCGCCTCTCCTTCCCGGAGGAGTTGCGCGGGTGTCGTGGCGGGTTGAACGCAAGTCTCTGAATCTCAGTAAGCCCCTCTTCGCAAGTCACCCAACTGCTTACTGGTGCCATGATTATGATGCAAAATACATGTTGAGCTTGGGGACATAACATGGCACAGATGAATGGGCATGGCAAATGGCTTGCTGTTGATTACATGCATCCCTTTGAGTTCTCTGCAGGTGAGACGGCACTTGGCGCGAGAGTCCATGGACTTCAGACACCCCTGGAACGAGCTGGCCATTTTTTTGGTGCGCGAGCTTCGGAGCTCAACTGCACTTGAGGAGAAAGACAACACCATTGCCGGACGCGCCGGCTGCCCGGTATTGTGGGTAGGCGGAGCTCGGCGTTTCGCGCACCCAGGCGGGTCGTTTCAGCAAGGACTGCTTTGAGTAGGTTGAACGCACATTGCTGTGAAGCCCTTTTTGGATGGTTCAACCAAGGGGAAGCAAATTCCCAGCATGCCCAGACAAAGACCTCAAACAAAGGCGAATTGCGTTGCTGAGAAGACGCTTGTTTTGGGTTTCAAGCGGTGTCGACAAATTAAGATGCACCCTTGTATCTCCTAGGACCTGGTGAAGTCGTTTGAATAGATGGAAGTCCCTCACGGATAGAGGCAGCTTGCTGGAAACAGTTGCACGAGATCGTTTCGGACAATGCTCTAACATTTTGCCTCGCAGCTAGCCTGCAAAAACGAACGACTTTCGCTTTTTCTTGTGCCCAATTGCAAGCCTTAGCACATATGATTTGCATTTGTTCCATTGCCAACAGCCTCAACATATATTCCGCATGTTGCACACACAGCATAGACGGAACGGCAGGCTGGTGTTCTGGTGTGGCCTTTTGCTCGCAGTCAACGGCTCTTTTTACTTTGGAAACGTCTGGCAGCGGGACATGACATTGAAGGGCACTTGTCGCGTGGAGAAGCCTTCTTAGATCCTTTCAAAGGTTTGTGCGTCTTTCCAAAGAACTGTGCAGGGGACCGGCCGCTTGGCACGCTGAGGCGCTGAACGTCTCGAACCTCAGCTTTGGGGTGCAGGACTGGGCATCTAGCTGGCCTCAGAGGGATGTGGAGGGCTCCCGTTTGTGAATCGTTTTGGCCAATCCGAAAGCAGGCTTTAAGTGAGTCGCTGCTGGTTAGTCTTTGCAGACCCTTGCTCATTTGGTCCCACACGGCACCAGAGCTGTACGTCTCAACTTTCTGATTGCAGCTTGCACTCGAGACGGGCGGAGGGATGGCCGCCGGTTGGCTCAAGCTTGAAGATTTAGACATTTGGGCACCCCCAAAGGGGGGGCCACATGCGAAAGACATTGAATCTGCCAGCTGATTGGTGACGTCTGTTCAACAGTGCACTGGAGTAGGCGCAGGTTTCCTGTAACGAAGCTCTGCAGCTCCTCCGGAGTTCGATCTTTTGCGGTTGAAGCTTTTTGCACTTGACAACTCCATGTCTTCATCTTCCCATGCATTTTCTGCCAAAGCAGGCTTGCACGCGGTCGCAATGCAGCCTGGAAGCGCTACCAAAGCGAGCTTGCTCTCGGATTTGTTAGGCTTGGGGGACGGTGTTTGGAGTGTTGGGTCAGCCGGTCCTCGGTATTTTGATTGCTTGCGGGGCCATGGTACAGCTCTGAAACGAGCGAAGACTCGGACGGTACCTGGGCGCCACTTTGGCCGTTGAAAACCCGTGTCCAATCACTCCAATTCTGCAAGAGTTCTCATGTTTGTATTTACTTCGCCACTTGCAACTCGCACACTTTCACTGTGAGTTGTTCCCTAGGGCAAGGTGGCCATGGCTACGCATTGGGTTGGCATTCGGTCCGAGCCGTCGCGACGTCTCAGGCCCGCTGTCAGAGTCCCAGTTGTCGGACTCTGCGGCCAGCGTCTTGGGCAAGGAGCCGGAACTGGCCAAGGCGCAGGTCCAAACACTGAGAGCCATTTGGTATCTTGGCGTTTTGCTCAGCCCAATGCCAGCCCACGATTCCCTGCTATGATTGCCGTGGCAGTGCATGTTTTCCCACTAATATTTTCCTATTTTCCTTTAGCACCTTGGCAAGCCTCGCTTGTGGTGGCCATTAGCCAGGTGTCAAGTGGCTAAACTGAAGATATAGATTTTGTTTATGGGTTAGGCTGGCGCAAGATATAGGCTTTGCAGAAGCTGCATAGATGCGGACTTTGGCATGTGCGCGATATCCCAGAGGGCGGTGTGCCTCGCAACAGCGGCATGCCTTGCAGATATGCTTTTGGTGCTTGCAGGAACTTTTTGTTTGCAGAATGTGCGAAAAAGCGCCGCGTTGAAGTAACTCGTTCCTTATGTTTGGACTGAAGGGAGAGAAAGGGGAAGCAAGAGATAGAGAGAAAGAGAGAGAGAGAGAGAGATGCGCGATGCATCATGCTGCCCGTTCAGGCACAGATTCTTGTTAACACTGTCAATCATCTAGATGACACAGCTTTTCTTGGGCTGGGAGCTTCGTGCTATGGCAGCACGGAGCTCCTGAGTCTAAACGTTTGGTAGGGATAAGAAGCATGCGGAAGCTTCGCAGTGAACTGCAACACACAAGTCCTTTTCCCTTCAGGTGCCTCCCAAGAAGTCTGAGCCGGAGCCTTTGGTGCCAAAGGCGCCGCCGCCCAGGCCGGGGAGTCTCAGAGAGTCGATCGGATGGGATGCGAAGCGATGTGAAGGTCAGAGGAGGCCTCCAGGAAGGCCAAGCTGTTCGTGTCCACGACCACGGCCTGGGGAGGCGCATGGGACCGCAACCGTCAGAGACGGCTTGCAAGCAGTGAAGCAGTGAAGCGGTGCCCATGTATGTTGCTTATGTTGGACTCGTCTTTGTGGCGGGCTCTCAGACTTGACAGGGTGGATGCCAGTGACTGCTGCATGCCGTTGTGGAGACTAGGACATGGCCGAGATGTTTAGGACTGTCCCATGAGCCTTGGGAGAAGCGCGACACAGCGGTCGAGGTTTTACCGATCACGATTCACACGTGTCAACAGCTACAGGCGGACAACTTAATGGACATGAAGCTACTAAAGGTCCGAAATTCGAACATCACCCACGGGCGCCTCTCTCGGGCTCTCTCGGCAGGGGGCTCTGGGAGCCGTCGGTGGAGCTCCACGGCGGGCTTCAAGGACAGCCTCACGGGGCAGCAGATCTCGCGGTCCCAGGCCATCTCGGAGCTGGCCAAAGTGCAGCGCGAGCCGCTGAGCTGCTCTTGAGTTGGAGCTCCCCGCATCAGGGGACTCAATGTGCCTCATGCCCATAACGGATAACAGCATATTGTCTCCTCACCAACTGTCCACATGTGGCAAGAAGCAAGGAAACTAGAGGATCACAGTTGGGCCAGTCGCGTGGCCTTAAGCAAGCCTTCTGGCGTGAACAAAAAGGACACTATTTTGGCTCAGCATACCAAGTCCGTCCACCAACTAGTTCTTGGGCAGCTCTGCTGCCAATGCCCCAAGAGATGCATTGGGCGGTACTACGCCGAGGCTTCGCAGGCACAAACTCACAAGTTCTTTGCTTCAGATGCACATTAACATCTGGCCAGTGATGCAACTGGCTCGGCAGCCAGGACTTCAGGCTTAGTCACTTGCGGTCAGTGGCCTGCCTGCCGCATTCTTTGCGCAACTTTTGCAGTGTTGTCACGTCAGAAATTGGCCTTGTGAACTCTTCTTGTCGGTGACTGTCTTGAAAGCTGCAGGTGCCCACCTTGCAGGAAAACAGCGGCCGAAGCCCTCTTGCGCGCACGGCCATCAAGCTAGCGAGCCCCACCAAGGAAGGGTCAAACCTCAAGTCACAAGAGTCGGACGGGCAAGTGGTTCACATGTTGTAGAAGAGGCCCACACAGAAGCGATTGTGCCGAGAGGAAGAACCATCGCGCGGCACCGATCCGGACAGGCCTTGTGCGACTCACCCTGATGTCGCAGCCAGAATCTTCCAAGGCCCTTGAGACCGTTTCTGTAAGGATTTGCTGGCTTCGCCGCCCTGCTGCCGATCCCCGCGCGCTCCCTTTGCTGCGCCAGGAGGCGCGGATAGATTGCGCTTACTTAGCGCAGGAGCTTTACCCACAAAATGACTGCCGCCGCCGCGGGCGCTGCCACTTGTTGCCGCGCCAGTGCCACCGAGGCTTGTGAGTGGATCAAGCAGCGCGCAAACACCATGTTTCCGTTTCAGAAGCCAAGGCGTGCGTCGCACGCAACGCCTAGCAAGCAGTGCTGGGCAAGTCGCAAGACTCAGACATGACGGTTTTGAACTTGCTGGGCTTCTGAAGCACAGCAGGCAGCGCGCGAGCCTGCGTAGCCAAGGCGCAAGAGCTTGCTACCCTCTGCGCTGGCGCCAGACCACTCGACAGTTGGCAGGGATGAGAAGCCTCAGGCAGCGGCGGCTTCCTGCAGCCTTGTGTTCTTTACGTGTGGCCAACGCAAAGGTCTTGTAGCGGCGGCGCCACTGATGCCGCAGACACGACAACGGCAGGGCGGAGGCCGAAATGTCGCCAACGCCCGCGGCCGCAGAGAGTACCTCTATGCGCCCGTCAATGTACTGCGTGTCAGGAGCCCAAACTGCATGCGCTCAGCCGAGAGTGCGAGCAAGAACGCCGCGCAAAGCGGCGCAAAAGGACAACCGACGTTGACAGCCCAACGTTCTCACCCCCAACCTGAGTTCATTACCAGGGCACCGCCGCAGCCGCTACCAATAAGAGTTGTTTCACATATAGCTAGTGGCTGTAGGCGGATCTACTTTGCAACATATTTGGCTGACATGGTTTGGAGTCTGCTGCTGTTTGCCTTCCTACGCTTGCCATCCATTCCTTTGGCGAGCCAGTTCATGAATTCCGAAATATATGGCTTGCCACAAAAACAGCTGGATTGGGATGAATTTGAAAGTGGACATGCTGAAACCTGAGTGTCAGGCGCATTGGCTCGGCTAAAAAGATGGGATATTTGCCGCTGATGTCTCCTTGCTCTAAGGTCTGCTACGCGAATCATGGACTCGCTGACGAGAACGGTGGAAGCCGTAGAATGCGCCGATAGCTTTGCCGCTCGGCATGGATGGATTCCATGGGTAAGGGCAGTTATCAAGACATTGAGCAGTCAGATTGCAACATATGGATCTCTTTTTGAACCCCTTTTAAAGGCGGGCCCCACGGTATAAAATTGTCAACCCCCCCCCCCCCGTAAGAGGGTATTTCATGCCCAATGTGTCGTGGCCATGTTTTGCCAAACATCACAAGAAAAAATGCTCGTTCGCTAATTCCGATAATTTGCAAATTCCAGCACCTAAATAGCTAATTCCGGTAATTCCGGCAAATAATTAGCGGAATTAGCCGATGTTTTTTGCTAATTTTGGCTAATTCCTCATTGAGGAAAATGATAATGATAATGATAATGATGATGATGATGAGGATGATTAGGATAGTGCAGGAAGACATGTTTTCCAAAAGACCTCGGAGATGGAGGCTTAGCGGCTTAACCGGGTAGGAAGTCGACCGAGTGAGCATCATGTTCACCAGCATGTTCATCATCATTATCATCATCACGTTCATCATCATTTTCGTCATCAAGCCCATCATCATCATCATCATCATCATCATCATCATCATCATCATCTTCATCATGTTTCATCATCGTTTTCATCATTATGTTCATCATCATCATCATCATCATCATCATCATCATCATCATCATCATCATCATCATCATCATCATCATCATTATGTTTATCAGCATTTTCGTCATCAGCATCATCATCTCATCATCTCATCATCGTCATCATTTTCATCATCATGTTTATCATCATTATTAATCATCGTTTTCATCATTATGTTCATCATCATTTTCATGATCACATGCTTATCAACATTGTCGTCATCATGTTTCATCATCATCATCATCATTTTCATCATCATTTTCCTCATCATTGATCATCATCATTCGCATCATTATTTTCAATCATCATGGTCAGCAACCAGGTAGGAATTCGACCGAGGTCCTTTGGAAACCATTATGTTCCTCATTATCCTAGTTATCCGAATTATCCAATGTATCCTAATTATGCTAACTATTTAGGATGATCAGGACTCCGCCTTACCCAATTAACCTAATTATTCTAATTAATTATCCTAATTGAATAGGATACTTAGGATATTTAGCATGATTAGGATAATTAGGAAACATATGCTTTCCAAAAGGCCTCTGATGCATGGCCTAAGCTCTGACTATTGGCAATCAGTTTCATCATTATCATCATCATTATCATCATCATCATTTTCATCATTGCGGTCCATTCTCATCATCCTCATTTTCTTCATCATTATAAATGTCCTTTCCAGTTCCTTCCATTTCTTTTCTGTATCCGTTTAGTTCTGTCCTTTCCTTTCATTCCTTTCGGAAGGACGCGCGCCACATTGGGCGCAACTTCCCCTACCAACCCCCCCCCGAAATATGGGTAACATTTGAATTTTGCAAACTCAAATGGGTTCCAAATCAACACGAACACTGGGCCTCCAGCCGTGCTCGCCCAGTCGCGAATGGTTCTCCTGGAGAAGTTCGATAGACATATGGACGCCTCCCGTGAAATGCTGATGCAGCACTCCAAAGGACCGAGGGGGGGAGTGCTCAAAGGAAATATTTGAACCAAACACCTGTGAGTTCAATTGTACAGTTAAGTTGGCAAGTGAAAAGGTGGCTTGTGATTGTGCGCGAAGAGCAGCTTTTCAGACCACGCTTCAGGCATGTTTTGCATTGCAATGCGCTGATAAAGGGCAGAGCCAAGATTCAACAGCATGAAACAAGAGCCCAAGAAGTGCCTTTAAGCGGCCGTCGCTTCTGCTTCGGTTTCGGCTGAGGACTGCTGGGCAGCGACCTCGCAGAGCTGAGGATGAAGAAAACCGAGCGGAAGGCGAGGGATGTAGGGACGGCTGCTTCTGTTTGAACGAAGCCCCATGTTGGGTGGTCTAAAGGAGAAACGTGCAAGTCCACCATTCGGCAGTGTCTCCATTGAAATCCACAAGGCGCCGTTGGCCTTCAAGTTCAAAAAGGCTTCATCGTTCAGCTGGCTCAGTGGGAGTGGTCTGCGGTTCAAGCGCGCTCTTGTGCACTTCTTTGAGGTTGGTTGCAGGCAGCGCGGTTTCGCATCTTATTTTGCCAGCATCGATAGCCATTGAGTCTCCTCACTGAACCAAGCTTGCGTTTTGCCTGTTTCAAGCTGAAAGTTCCGACATGCCCAGACCTCCAGGTCTTGCTGGACAAAGTGTCGAAGCAGAATCGGGCTTACACCATGGAACTCTCGCAGCTTCGAGACCAACTACGCAGCATCGACAGCGCCAGTAGATCCCGGGTTGACAGGACCGGACCTTCGAATCCCCGCCCTTTACTTTTCTGTGGCAATTGGACGATACGACGATACACGTACAAATCATTGTTTGGCAAAGTCAATGGCAAGTGCAGAGGAGAGCTTCTTTTTGGGTATCGGGATGGCCTTTGCTTCAACTTGCTGACAGCTGTTGCACTTGAGACAGCATCATGGCCTAGGCAATCAGGTGCACTACTTGGTAGTGGGAGATGCAAGTTCTCGCTTTTGGGGGGGAAGTTCGCTTGCAGGATCATGCAGGACGTGCAAGCCAGTTGTGCCTCGGCTCCGCAGGTCCCTCCCAGGTTTCCTAGAGACAAGCACGCAGCTTAGAGCAATGCGTCAGCTTCACAAAGCCGAAGAACTAGTTTGACTCCACACGATTTGGGGCTGTTTCAAGGTGCATCTCAGATATAGAGTTTCTGTGATGGGTACAAGTCGAGAGCATCGCAGCCCCTCATTCTTGTGCGCACTTGCCCATAGCCCAGGTCTGCAGGACTTTGGCCGGGAGAGCCAATCATGCAGCTTGGCCGAGTTCTGCGGACTTTCCCCATGGCCTGAGCTCGCAACAAAAAGTGGCAAACATGACAAGTGTGGCAAGGCTTCGGAAAGGTTCCGCATCGTTTTTGGCGAGGCATCCTGTCCTGCGTAGAGCAGAAGCTTCGGGCCGTTTTCGCCCAGCCGCTGGAGCCATTGCCGGTGAAGGCCGCCTGAGTTCTGTTTTTTCCCGTCGATTGTCAGGTTTTGGTCCGTTTTGGTGCAGTTGGTGCAGCCCCATCCCGGTTTGCACGTCTCGTTTGGCCCAGAGCCGCGCTTCCGGTGCCCAGGAGGCCACTCCTATCAAGCAGCCCTCCAGGCCAGGTCCCGAGTAGGGACATGTGAATTGGGCCTGGTCGAGGCACAGGCTTAGAATATCTGGAGTGCAGCAAAGAAGTGATCCCCGGGCATATGTTCCTGCTTGATCGGCTACACGGCCTGAATCTGATAGGCGGTAGGAGGCAGAGGCACATTGGGATTTGAAGAAGCAAGACTTTCGGGAGGTAACTGGCGGCAAAGGGCTGCCTTGATGAGTGGTGGGGAATGTTTGGGAGGGGGTGGCCGCACATGCGGCAGTTCAGCGCGTTGCGCTGATTCCAGGCTGGAAAACTCCTTTCTCAAGGAGCGCGTCAACACTCTCCAGCAGCAGCTTGATGGTGCAGCTTATGATGTGGCAACACCTTGTTCCTAATACCCCCCTGTCAGGCAAGCGGTGTTTTCAGTGCCCTCCACGCTCTTTTGGTCGGGTGTGCTGCCTGGGTGGGCCAGTGGCCCCTGCTCGTCGGTGGTGCGCTCATACCAGCCCCTGGCTGACTGTTAGCTTTGACCTTTGGTGTGCATGAGGGTTGGTGACTGTGTTCGTGGACCCACGGTCGTCTTGCCTGTGCGCCGCTCTTGTAGGGAGTGCTCGTTGTCGTTTGTACGGGCCCTGGTAAGTTCACGGCACCTTGTCAGGGGTGGCCAGTCCGGGCCAACCAGAACTGGCGGGAGGTCAGCCTCGCCCGAGGCTGCAGAACCCAGCAAGCCGCTCACCAACCAATCCTTCTAGTACCCATGAACACTCCTAGTAAGACACGTGGCACCTTTGAACTTGCTGCTGGCGCGCGCTTGAGCCACGGACAAGTGTCATGACTGTTCATTATATTCCAAATTCTCATATTGACAAGTTTCACGGGCTTGGAGCACTCAAGCGTCTTGATGCAGAGCGGCGACCAAGGCAGGTCAAGCTGTTGGAGGAGCAGATCGCGAACTGCCAGCGGCAGCACGCGGTGCTCTTGGCCAAGAAGGATCCGACCGGAGTTGATTCATGCGGCCCGTTGGGAGTTGTCAGACTTGCCACATTTCCCCGAAAGGCCAAGCTTTCCGCGTTCTCTTGGGGCGCACATGTTGGCCGTGCATCTGAAAGATCAGATGACCAACTTGCACTGAGTGAGCACCTAGCCAGCCTGCCAGCAAATTGTTAGGAGAATATGGAGGAGCAATTGAATCAAGCGCGAAATGGTCAGGGACTCAACCAAAGTAGTCTCCATGAGCACGAGTGCAAGCAACAATTGCCTAAGCTGACGTTGTCTTCTCTTTGAGCGAGCGGTTTGTTGCCTGCCAGTGGCAAGTTCTTGAGGCGACAGCAGTTCCGTGAAGACTCTGAGCAGCAGTCGTGCCTCAACTCCCAGCTGGCATGGAACTCCCAGATGACGCACGATGACTGCCCAGCGGACCCAGCTGCGGCAAAGAGCCGTGCAGCGGATTGCATAGGTGGCCGGGACGTCACATGCCAGCTTCGGGTTATCATATCGGTAGACCAACCTAGTAGCTCGAATCACGAGTAGAGCTGCAAGAAAAGTGGATTGAGACAAGCAATTGGAACTGGGGTTGCAAGTGTAGCTGTCTTTGGAAAGAGATCTGAACAGCTAAAACCCTTGAGGGCCACAAAAGCGTAGAGCAAACCTAGGATGCCTTCTTTGACTGCCCAAAGCTTAGCAACAGTGAAACAACTCGGGGAGAACAGTTGTTTGGCTTCTCTTCAAAGCTGAGAGAATCCTGCGCTCCCTGAAGCTCAAGAACAATGTGAAACTGTGAGATCAATTGGCACGCGAGACACAACTCGGCGCCCCAAACGAGTCAACTTGACTCAACATGGCAAGCGGCCAACGCAACCAAGCCGTGTCTGTGTTGGCCTAGCTCACACCACCGAAAGCCTGGGTGAAAGGGAGAGCGGTTTCAGGTTTTCGGCTTCAGGGTTTACAGTCTTGCGTTCAGAGATTGTACATTCGTTTGGCTTAGTGTGGGACTTAAGCCACGCTGTCCACAATGTCCCATTGCGAACACACTTGCACACACACACACAACATACACACCTGCAAGCTTCCGTTGCATGGTACGATGCTCACATCTCCTTGGTATTCTCAGCCGTGCGCAAGCTGCCAAGAATCAAGCGACTGCGGACGTCCAAGGCCATGTCGCAGCCGACAGCCATACTAGCTTGTACCCACTTTCGGTCTTGCTCTAGGAGAGTCGTTTGATCCTCTGAGCGCCGAATGTGCTTTTCACTCGAGACTCCAGACAGCCGCAATTTCGAAGTTGTAACATGATCTTGCGTTGCAGTGGTCATAGTTATTGCTTTTCCTCTTTTCCTCCCAAGTTGAGATCTGCTCAATGTGAATATGGGCATGTGTATAAGCGCAAGAGGGACACCATGTCACTCATATTTCATGCCGATATGGCAACCTGTGAGCCGGGGAACATTCCAAGGGTCCCTGAGGATCTCCAGGGCATTGGTCACAACCAGTGTGTGTGTGCCTGAAAGGGGCTTGAACCAAAGGGGGGTCCATTTTGTCACCCCCCCTGTGTGCATAGATGACTTGAGTGGGAACTTCACAGATCCCAGCTCCTGCAAATGCACGTATACTCACATATCATATGTCACAGCGTGTGGTGATTTCTCATATTCCAAAGCCACTCCCAATGCTCATGTTCCAAGCGCTTGCAGCTCGGTGTGGGGGCTTGGACGCGGATGTTTGCCTCGGCTAGCTCCACAGTTTTCATGTCAAGAAACCCCTTGATTCCGGTTTTATATTTGAGCTCGGCCGAAGGTGCAATGAGAGTCTTGAATGCCCGTTGTCAGCATTGCATGGCTTCCTGGGAATGCGAGACCGAAGTCGCAAAGTACGTCCGTGCGCTTTGCGAGCAGGGTAGCTCGGCTCTGCCCACGGGTCGATTTAGTTCGGACAGTGCTGCCGACTTTCGAGACTTCGTAGCTATAGCCACCATGTGAAGGTGCAACAGCCGCACATGCACTTGCACGTGTATATATATATATATATGTACATATCTATATACACACATACGCATATTTGGGCCCTGCACGTGTTCACATCACAACTCTGCTCAAGACCCACAGAAAACTGCTTAACTCTTTCCCTTATTGTTCGAACGAGGCTTGAATTCCCTGCGCAGGAGAGTCCGGTGCAGCTTCCCGCAGGAGTCGTGGCGGGGCAGGCGGGGCAGGCGCCAAGTGTGGCGTGGCAGGACAGGCGCCACGCCGGGCTTCACTTCGCAGGAAACATGGCATGAAATCCTCTTTGTGCTTCAAGCTTTGCAGAAATGCGCACAGCAGCGGGGCCAGTGTTGCAAAGTGCAATTCGTGCATTCGTTACGGCAAGTGCCCACTTGCCATTCAATGTGTCCCCACATGAGAGCCATCCTTGGGTTTTGGAATTCTTCGCAGGCTCCTCAGGCGCTGCAAGTCTCAGAGGAGATGATTCAACAGTTCGAGGAGCAGATGTGTCGATTGCACTCGCGCTTGGAACGGTATGGCAAACCATTTGCCTGAGTGTTTATCAAACGAAGATCCAGCCAAAGCACACCTGACGGCAAATTCTCATTCAGAAGTTGCCTAAGGGCCGTTTGTTGCAATTCCTTAGCTGCATGTGTTTGGCAAGCCCTGGCCTAGTTTCGCATTAGACGAGTCTCTTCGCATCAACATGTTTTGGGCCTGCCCAGAAAAAGATGTTGGAGAAGTGGTGGTGCAAACAGAAACTAACGCCGTTCCTTAAATATTTGTTGGAGGAGTGCAAGCAACAGGTGTAAGGATCAGGGCTGGCTTGGCACACAAGCTTGTGGGCTGATCAGAATGACGGCGTAGTTGCCAATAGAGTCTCAACATGCATTGGTAACCGACCATGGTTCCTTCTTCTGAGCAATCTCCTTTTTGCGGTGTCGAGACAAGCCAAAGAAAGGGGCCCAGGGGGCATTGTAGGCGCCTGGCACTTGGCACTTGGCACTTGGCATGTTGCAAGGTTGCTCTGAGGGGTGAGAATTCGGGACATGCAAAGCGAAAGAATGTGCCAGGAGGACGGAGTGATCATGATCAAGGGCGCAATGAAGGAGAATCCAGGGAGCGTCAAGCAAGTGACTCGTAGACTTTGCGCGGCACTTGTACCAAAGAGTTCTTCATCCTGGGAGAGGGACTCCTGATTTGATGGCTAGAAGTTGGCAAATCACATGGCCAAAACGTTTGATCCAACCCCGTAGTGGCGACCGGAGTCAGGAATGGGTGGAGTACCTGCGGGGCGTGACCGAGGATCAGATCGAAAAGCCCCACCTTTGGCCGGGGCCATGGAAAAAGACAGCTCGACATTTCAATACAGGCGCATGCTGAATCGGATCTTGCCGTCTCGCATCACCTGTGTAGGCACAACACACTTTCCATGTTCATTGTTCACAAACCTGCTCGTGCCTGCCTGGCGACCGAGCTTGAACAAGCATGGCTTGCCTCAGATCAGTGATACCACCCAGCTCCGACAAGCCCATAATTACATGTTCATAATTGTTGTTTGGTCCTTGGGTTTGCTTAAAAACTTCTTCCAGCATGCACCAAGTGTTGAGTTTGAGCTCAGGTCACTGGTGGGCCGCATGAGCGGAATGTACGACTACATCCAGCTCCGGGCTTGGCAGATCAATGCTCAATGCTTTTGATGGTCTGTGTTCATGTTTGAAATGGTCTATGTTTGTGGAAATGAACCTCCAGAGCAATTCGAACAGATGGAGCATCCCCCTGAGCGCTGCGGCATCCAGCTGCAAGCGCGCAAGGTTTGATTCGAGGTTGGGCACCCTTTGCGCTTTTCAATTCGCCTTAACCGTGTACTCACTAGGACCGAATTGCGCGACCTGAACAAGCTGGGTCCCCTTCCTTGCTCTTGTTTTTGCGCCTGACGGATGGAAGGCGGAACATGTGGATGACCAACAACGGCTTCCGTGACTTCCTGGAGCCGCCGCAGTTGGTTTGCACACCGTCGGCCGAAGCGGGCAATCATTGCCGACTGGTGACTTTGAAGATGGTGCCTCTAAAAGCAGCGTTCTGGGCTTCTTCCGCCGGCATGTGCTCGCCAACGCGTGCTAAAACCAGCGCCATGCAATTTGCCAGTACTACTCGCCCCTGGGCCACGTGGTGTCGCAGCAGCGCGCCCAGTGGTGGGCAGGGTGCAGATTTATGGGACTGTGGTGCAGCCTGCAGACTACAAGTGTTTGCCCTTAGGTCTTGTGGCTTGAAGCTGTTGACTCCTGTAATTGGAGATTCGAGATCTTGTCCTTTCGATGCAAACGTTCGGCTTTGCATCAAAGAGCCCGCAATCGTGCCAACATCTCACTCAGGCGACATAGGGCCAGCGCTCACGTTGCCATCATTTCCCCGGAACAAACAATGATCCAGCGCTGCATAATACACATGTCTCAAAGCCTTGAGGGAATAAGCGACAACCTCATGCCAGATCCACAGATTCACACATCCGTAGATTCATGTGTCCAGAGTAAATGGCTGTTGTAGACTAGCACAGAGCTGAGGGAAATTCGGCCCAGCATGGAGAGCCCAGCCAAAGTTGACACCTCTCGAAGCAGTTTTGGCGTTTTCTTTCAGGCAATCGGGATCGACAGCCACAGGTTTCTCATGGGAAAGCGGTGACCATGGGGCGCCATGTCCTGCAAATGGCGCGCGGCGGCCTTGTGCGCCCTGCTGGTGCCGCAGATCTTCCTGGCCGGGCCGAGTTGGCGACTGGTTCCTGGGGGTTGGAGAGCTGCCTCACGTCAACCTGTAGCATTGGCATGGTGGTAGAGCCAAAGCAGTGGGGGCCCAGTCACTGGGGTTGCCCGCTCGGGTGATTCAATTGGGGTGCCTCCAAGATGAAGACAAGCCCCATGTTGCCTGCAAGGTTGGCCTGGCAGACTGACCCAGGCAAAGCGTCAGCATGTTTGGATGTTTCCCATTCTGAGTGAAGAAACTGACGGAATGGCTGGGTTCCTGCACTTCCACCCCTCCTTCCAAGTGAGGGAACTTTGCCTCAAGGTGGGGCCCCCTATATTCCCCTTTTTGGCGGTTTTGAACATCGTCCAGGCCCCGTGAAAGTGACATTTCGTTGGGTGGGTGATGCTTCGGGGGGACATATTAACGTGGAGTTTTGAGATTTCGAGACGCCCGGTGTCAGTCGCTGGCAGTTGCAGACGGGCATTCTTCGAGACCTGAAGCTGCAGTTGTCCTTTGCCGAGCAGGTGAGGTGAGTGAGGGAGGGCGAAGGCTTTTCAGGCCCTGGCCTGGCATCACCCTTGGAGTTGTGTTTGAAATTGAGTCGCCTGTGGCGTCTAGCTGTTGCGTCTGATCGGAAATGGGTCTTGCCTTAAACTGGCACGCCACTTCTGCGTTTAAATGGCAATATATGTTCGTCAAGGCAAGAGGAGAGCCACCAATCAGAGTTCCGGCATGAGATTGAGCTTCTGTGACCGAACAGGAGAGCAGGTTTGCAACTTCGAGTGCTTGCAGATCTCCGTTTTGCCGTCTTGAAGATTTGCAGGCGGAGCCTCAGCAAGACATTCCAGACCCAGCTCCGCAAGATATCCCAGAGTCTCTCCAGCAAGACGTCCCAGACTCACCTCAAGAGGAGGAGGCCTGGATCGATGAGTGGAGACAAACCTCGGAAGTCGAGTGACGCGTGATACGCGCAGGACGAGGACGCGGTGCCCGAGGACTTGAGCCTCTTGCTGGCAGGACAGGGGTGTTGGAGCGAGCCATGGAAATGAGAGCCTTGCGAAGGAGAAGGGAAGACTTCGTTCGAGGAAGAGGAATCAGGCTGGGGCAGTTTGGGGCCGGTGAGTTCGCGAAGGGAGTAGACAGGCGCAACGTCTTCTTTTGAGGCAACCCGGGGCTTACTGGACGAAGCGACGTGCCTTGTCTCTAGGCGAGGCCAATGCGCCCGAAGCCACGCCGGCATGGCCGACAGAAGCGGTCCCAGAAGTCAGGCGCGGTGCACTTGGGCCAGCTTAAGGAGCTTTCCTTCACACAGAGGCAGCATATTTGTAGAACCGTTCCGCATATGTTTGGCTCCGCTGTGTCAAGGTCTTGCTTTGCATTAACTGGCCAGTTGATCTTTTGGTTGGGGATGTGTTGAAGTGCATGTCTGGCGTGTGCATCGAAGATGCCCTGCTCTGGGCGCAAATGGGCAATATCCATTCTCCGGCATGCACAATCGCAGTGACGGATTTGGCACTTCGAAACAAATCCGGATTTGATAAGAGATCTCTCGTGCGGAGGACCAGCACCACCCAGGCCTTCTGCCGTTGCGCCCAGCTGGGTGGGGAGCAGCCGCCTGAGGGTCTGCGCAGCTTTGCCCAGGCACAACGCACGGGTTGAGACTTCGGGCAAGATTTCCGATTCCGATCAGATTGCCAGGAGGAACTGAAGAACCTCCTGAAGGAGTGCTGGGCTTTAGATCATGCTTTGCGGAAGCTGTGTGACTCCCGTGAATGGCGGACTGATAACTTCTGATGGGGTCTAAGATGGCAGCTAGCCATGGCCTTGCGATTGCTGAAGGATCGTAAATGGGTTGGCAGTGACATCTCGGTCTGAAACCCTTCGCAATGGGAGACCAACCGCCCGTGCTCCATAAGCCTTCGATGCTGGAGGAGATGCGCCAGAAGCTGCGCCTCTTCATTTATCCCATCAATTTCCACTGCGGCAGATTTGAGCGCCTCGGACGCAACATTCGAGGCGAGCCGCAAGCTTTGAGGTGAGCAGGCTGCGAGCAGCCATAGGCTGATTTGATGGAACCTTAAAACCCAGACAGGATTATGCAGGTGTTTTTGGCATGGAATGTGCTGCCGGTTGGCCAAGACTAACGCCTGTCCTTTTGCTAAGTTTCCGTGGGTAATCCTGCCACTCATTCGGCTTTGGGCTGATGCATTTCTGATACATGCAAAGTGCGGTACGGTGATAAGGAAGGCTAATATTAACTTTCAGCCTGCTACGGAGCAGCACACCAGTTTTTCGGACATGATTCACGCATGGGGAGAGCATCAGCTCTTTTCATTTAGACCATTGTCGAGCCAACAACAAGCACATGTTTCTCCGTTATGTTTGAGCGTGAAGTTGTATTTGGCTGCACGAGGCTTTGTTCCAACAGGTGATTCGGAGTCCCTCTTGTAGATGGAAGTTCAAATATTGAGAGTCGTCATTGAGAGCTGGGCCTCGATCGCCACGGTCTGTGTGTCAATCGTCTCCCTAGGCGGCGTGGCAACCGCGGGTACTGGGTGGAGAAAAACTTCTATGACCGCGCCAAGAGCTCGTCCATGCGAGCATCTTGACTGGAAGGGCCACGTGTGTTCATCTCAAAGGACAGCCCGAAAATGGTGTGTTTCCTTTTGGGTGTTCCTTTAAAACCAACCAAAAGGAGGTTCCACCCCCAAAGGAAACGCAATTGCCTTTGCTTGGGAATGATCGATGCTCGCAGGCTTGTGTAGCACGTAGATGTATACTTCACAAGATGCGGGATATCTTCAATTGCTAAACTGCGTTCAAGCGCCTATGGGAAGTTTGGAAGTTCGGCCAGTTTGCACAGCAACACATGAATCTCTTTCCCGCTTTGCTAGATGGCTAGCAAAAAATGCAATGCCGAGGTGACGGATGCGGCAAAGGCCACCATTTACTACATCCCGACCTTCACCTCTTGCTGGCGCACCTACGCCACTCGCACAGATGTGTTGAGCACGTTGAAAGTTGCGCTTTCGCTTATTGGCTTGCCCTTCTTACGTAACACACCAAAGACATGCCCCCTTTAGCCGTTATATTACTCAGACACTGTTCAGCTGTTACAAGCAGATGCTTGCAACTTGCCGGGTGGTACAAGCTGGGCAAACGTTCGGGATCAGCAGAGTCATGAAGTTGCAACAACACACTTCTTCCTCTAGCATTCAGTGGTCTTCGGGTGTCCAAAGCTTCAGCTGTTGCCAGTAAACTACGAAGGCTATCGCACATACCCTCGCCAGCAAGGATAAGCAGTACCGCTGTCGTGTCAATGGGTTTATCCTCATACAAATAAAGAACATCGCCCATGTTTTGTGGCATTTGCCACATTTTGGGTCCAAGTGATCATTTGCAACTTTCGGGCTTTGAACTGCCCACCCTCCACTTTGCGCGCGCTCATTTTGACTCACCAGCGCTGCCAAATCTCGGCATTGTTCATTTTCTTTTCTTGGTGCGAGGCCACTTGGACCCTCACGCATTCGTTGCTCGCTCCCCTTGGCGTCAAGATGACCGAGGGGGGGCTGTATCTTTCCCATCAGAGACGCGAGGATGGGGATTTTTGGCGTATTTTTCCATCAGAGACGAGGGGTGGGAATTTCTGGCATAGGACAAAAAGGGACACATCCCTGGCACTGCGTGAAGGGCAGGGGGGGTCAACAGGTAAATGCTCACTCGTGTGGAGCATGTACATACATCACAATATGCGTACAGTAGATGCTCTGCGCGCTCAAGGGGATGAATTGGTTGAGTCTGCGGCGAAGTGCAGTCAGCCGAGAACGCGTTTGCGAGCGCCCGCAAATGCTCTCCCTTGCCTGTACCCCTCTTCCACTCCCCGCAGCGCATCAACCTCAGAGTAGATCAAAAGGTAGAAGCTCGGAGTGCGCACTTGTCCCCTAAGCTGTTGGTGGGGATTCCAGCTTGACCATTTGGCGCAAAATTCACGCTTGCAAAGGAGCACAAGCGTAAGTCCGTTGCAAGTCCCAGCTCCTTCCGTGAACCAAGTAGTGTTTGCGAGCCTTGTGAGAAATGACGAAAGAACAAAACAGGGGAAAGTATACCAATGAAGAGAGTAAGAAGGGTTTGTCATTGCCAAAGGCTTGCACGAGCGTGACAAAGTTCTTGTCCAAGCCATGCGTGCTTTGCTGAGGATGTTCAAGGCACTCTTAAACCAGAGGCTATTGTCATGTTTCAGGATCTGGGATCACAAGGGCACATGCAAGCAGCTCTGCTTGATGCCGGCGTGTCATATGCCATGTTGTGTGAGCCTTTGTCTTCGACTGCCAAAGACCTTTCAACGCCCTAGGGCCGGACTCGCGCTGCGGGCAGCCAAAATGCGGCCAAGAACATTCGTCGTATGCTGGAAGACTTGAGCCTTCACTACCCTTACTTCAAGAGGCCACGTGACTGCTCAAACTCGGGCCGTCAGCAAAGAAGGAGTTGCTTGGTCATGTTGGTCATCAGATGGGAGTAATTGTTACTGAATTGCAGAGAGAAGCCGATGCCAAGGGTTTCCTTGGAATTGAGAGAACCAGAAGCAGGGCATTGCATTCATACATGTGATAGGTATCGTGGCAGAAGGCACATTTGGGTCTCTGTACATGCAGCTCGGACAGAATTGGAAGGGAGCTGATAGAATGGCACGCGTTCTACTTACTTGTCCAGCAACAGACTGGATGGGCAGAAGGCCCTGACTGGGTTTGACTTTCAGTGGCTCTCAGCAATTTGTGTGGAACATGAGTTCGTAGACTGCAGCTCAGGACATGGGCAAGACTGAGCCCCTTGCATGTGAGGAGCAGGATATACAACTCCCACAGGAGATGTGCAGAGACCACTTGCCGAACGTGCTGGCCATCAACAGTCACCTTCCTGCACTCAACGGCTTGTGCTATTGGCAAATGATCACCCCAATACCCCGGTGTGGTTGTTCAAGGTTTGTTGCAGCAGTCCCATCTAGAAATAGTTGCGGCCGCCTTCTTAATTCTTTACTTGGTTCTGGGTAGACCATTTTAATACCGGGTTTTGATTGTGACTTCTGTGGGCTATGGGAGATGTCAGTCTTCAACCTTGCTGAAGATGGCAAGTCTGCTTCGATGCTTGGAGGCAGTTGAGATCCTCTGTAGATAGACTAAGAGCGCGGCAATAGCACAGCCTGGACACTGTGTTCCAGAGCACAAATGCCAAGCTGGGGGTGATTGCAGAGGATATAGCGGGAGTCGATCTCAACAGAACCTTGCGTGCAGCTGTTGTGTTAAGGTCGCGTGGCTAGTGATATATGCCCAGTGAAGCAATGATGAGTTGTGCGTTAGACTCTCACAAGTTCTCTGTTTCTTGCGATGCCCGACAATGATGGTGTTTTAGATATTGGCTCTGCCCGGACTTTGAGGCAGCGTCTTGGCAAACACAGCAGACACCATGGAGCCACGGAAGTTTGGGGTGTGACTCGGCGCGACTGGGAAGCTTGCAGAAATCAAGGTCAGGGTATGTCAGAGTTGCGCTGACAGAATCCACTCCAGATCAGGAGGGACCAGGCAAGTTCCACTGTATATAGCTTTACTGCATCCAGCTGAGAGGAGTGTTTTTTTCGGCTGTAGGCAAGAACATGTAATTTCCTCTAAGCCAGCTTTTTTTGAAAGCTTCCGCCATCCAGCTTTACTGGAGCATACCCGATGTGTTTGTTGCCGTTGAAACCCTGAGACGGGATGTCAGGTGTAGGGCATGTTGGTTCAGAATTTGTGATTTCACATTCTTCGACAAGACAAGGTATGGCTTCAACCGAGCCGTGGATGTCTCGCTGGTTTGCAATGCCGATAGCAATCTGGCGCAGACGAGCTTCAAAGCTGCCCGGCTGATGGGCACTGACTGCAGTTCTCTACCTCACAGTGTTTCTCCAGTTTGATCACCCTTCAACGGGGCAACAATGAGCCCAGGTTTCAACAGCAACTGATTCGTCCCAACCCAAGGTATCCGCCACCAATCCGCGGATTTGGTCGGTGTTCTTCTCGGGCAAGTGGGACAAGGAGTACCTGGATGGACTGCGCTGGAGAGCCATCAGGACAGTCTGTCCCACTTGAAAAGGGTGCGCATGGACCGTCTGCAAATCTTGAACCAGGTGCAAGTCTGGCGCCTCTGCCCATCTGTCGTGGAAGGGTTCCCGTTCTTTCGTTTTCAAGGGAAGCCATTTTGGGGTTTCTACCTCAAAATCTGGCCAGGGAAATACTGGCAGGCCACTTGCCTTTTTTGCCCAGCCCTCAAACAAATGAAGCCGCTGTGGTATTTTTGCATCTTGTTTGGGACCCCGGGGGCTGCTAGGCCCTCAATGACTCATTCAAATCCGAGAAGCATGAATCCATACCAGGTTCCCCCTTGCACCCCATTGCTGGCCTTGGGTTCAAATACGGCCCTTCCGAAAAGCAAGAATATAGAGAGCATGCAGTGTGTGGCTTCCTTTCAAATGGGCATTCCATAGACCACCATGAGTTTCCTGGAGCACGCTCCTAGCTAATCCTTGACCGCACCCCCTCTGAAAGAGGCAGAAGGAAAGGGCAGATTGCAGAGCCCAAATTGTCCACTCGATTTTCATGTCCATCTTTTCGCCTGCAAGAACACAGAGCTTGCTTAGCAAGGAGCTTTCCACGGCAGGTCGCACGTGTCCGAAAGCTAGCGCTTCTCCAGGAGCATTCAGAGCACCCACTTCAGAAAGCCCTCCATGATCTCCACCGGCCAGAGACCCAAGGCAGGTCCAAGCTGCCGTTCGACCTAGCGCTGGAGTGGCTGATGTGCAAAAAGCATGGCCAGGATTTCATTAATCCCTCTGCCCTGTCACCCTGCAACTTCATTAGATCTTATTTAGCTGTTTGCTGATACACCTCTGCTGTTTCCAATATTTCCGGGGGATCCCTCAGAAGGGCGCAGAGGTGAACGTCGTTGTTTCTACAGCACTCCAAAACAGACTACTGCATGCCTGCATGTCCGCGCAACCCAGACTCTCGTACTTCGACGGAGCCGCAGGTTTTGCATCGCGAACTTCGGATTCCCCACAAATGGATTTCCGCTCAATGGCCATTGATTCCGCTTCGCTGACCGGATTCTCCTCGTTCTTTTAGGCATACCTGGCCAGCCTGGCCACCTCCGAGCTGTGCCTGGCGCCGCGGGGCTCGCGGGTTTGGAGCCCCCGCCTATTTGAGATGCTCTGGTTCGGCTGCATCCCAGCCCTTCGGCACTGGAATAGAGATTGCCTTTTCAAAGCCCCGGTCGTTTTTGATATACATATACATCTCTCTCTCTCGCTCGCTCTCTCTCTCTCTCTCTCTATATATAGACATGTTTGTGCCGGATGAATCAATCAGGCGCCTGTTCACCTCATGTGAGCGAGCTTCCACTCTCACGTGGCCAACACTCAGGTCATTGTTGCCACCGGGTGCCTCTGCTGCTAGAGTTTCGAGGGCCTCGATCGCCGCTTCAGATGTAAGTCGCAGGATGTGAGCTTGCTAGCTTTTGACAGGTAACGTATGACCGACCTTGACGGCAATCGCGATTGGGTTCTTGTAGAAGACTCCTTGAAAGATGATGTTTACCAGTAATTCTTTCTAAGGGCCAAGCCCGATTTTCAGCAGGGAAGGGAATGAAAGCAGATCAGCCAAAGCAGCGGCTTGTTCACGAAGTAGTCCAGTCGTGCATGCAGTCATGCATTCCGGGACTGAGCAGCACTGCCTGTGTAGTGCTCATGGTTGCCGCTTTAAGAGTGAGGCTCCCTTCAGCATCAGAAATGGGATGCCTTGGAACCTCAATGGGCTGCTGACTCTGTGTTGTGACGGCCGGGCGATCCGAGGTACTTGCTTCCGGCCGCCTGCTTCATTGAGTGGCGAGAGATCGCTATTATGGTCCCGGAGGAGGATGCTGACAAGGCGAGAACCGTGTGACTCCTCGCTATGCTTCCTGGAGACACTCAAGAGCCTCCTTCTCCAAGCTGCCCTTGACAAGTGACTCCATACGATCAAATCTGCCCATGGCCACACATCTTTTTGGTTAGCTGCAGTCTTGGGAGATCATGCTGCTGGCGCACGTGTGTTTGCTTGCATTATCTTAGAGTATGGCATATGGGAATCGAGAGTCATCAAATGAGACCTGAGAGACAAAACACAAGCAGGGCCAGCGCTCGCTGCAACGGCCCAGACAACATATCATTCGTTCAAAGGTCAGGGGGTTGACTTCAGGACAAGCTCTTAGCTCGTGCCACCAGCACCTGGCTGAGCTGAGAATGTCAACGGAGTGAGAGACGTGTGAGGTAGGGGAGATCATCCGGCCCTTCCTGGAGGACAAGTCTCGCCTAGACCAAATGCGCAAGAAGATCTTCCAGGTCAGAAAGCACTTCATGTGGCAGCCGAAGGCCGGGTCCAGCTTTGGCTGCTTGGTTTCAGTCGAACCCCTTCAATTGTAACTGCGATTGCAAGCCGAAATGGGACACGCCGAAACGCTTTCCACCTTTCGAACCAATTTACTGGATGGTGTCACAGAGAGCGGAGCTCAAGTGTGACGAGCATATCTCCCAATGCTTCCTGCGACCACCCCGGCCTTCGGGCAACTGTACACCCAGTACAAGAACAGTCCTCAGAAGATCTCCTATATTCCGGTTACTCCCCTTCAGGAGTCGCACGGCGATGCCTTTGAGCTCGCCATGTTGGACGTGTACCTGAAGCAACAGCGCGTCTGCTGATGGGACGTTTCCATTTCCCACACCGGTCAGAGCGGCCAGAGCAGCAAGCGATACATTGGGTATACCTGTCTCGCGCACGTTTCTCTGTGCAGAGCGGCTTGCCCTTTGCCGAAGGCCAAGTTGCACTTGCACTCAATGTTCGTCAAAGGGCGCGAGGGCTGAAGCTCAATGAGCTGAAGTTCGGACTTAGAGGACTTAGATTGTCTCATTGCCGACTGGGGTATCTCTCCGCTTCGGAAGGAGCCCGGAAGGAGCCCCGTCAGAAGGGAGTTGAACCGGGCTCTAACTCAGGCTGGATGGTGAAGATTTTCCGTCTTGTTGTTTGCAAGGCCCTTTTAGCTTGAGGGTGGCTTGTTTGGTATCGACATTGGGGTTGTGCCGATCCAAGGCATTTCCAAAGCTTGTGCGTCGCTCCCCGCAGCTTAGCTCATAGCTCAAAGAAAGCCCCACTTGGACCAATTCTGTCAACTGGATCCAGCAACCCTTAGCACCCTCCAGAGCTCTCCAGGTATTTCGACTTGTGAACCTTTGCTCAGCAGCACAACACGTGAGTCGGACGCATCCTTCAAGCCTGGCACTGCACGCAGAACTGCGCAGTTTGCCGATCCTTGGGCCGACAGCGAGGGTTGCCTCAATGGCGTTTGTCAGACTTCTAGGACTCAACACGTCCCCATGCCAAAGACTTCGCCCTTTTTGCTGGGGTGACGGCAAGCAACGACCGACGATCCAAATCCACGCTGCGTCCTCGAGACCCAACTCGCGTTGCAAAGCTTCCCGCTGATCGCCATGGATGCTTGAGAGCTCGAAGCGAGGCCGGTTCGAGGTTTTATTAATTTATTGACTGGCGAGAAGTAGCATCTCTAAGTAGGAATCCGTTGCAAGAACACGCACTTCGAGGAAACCCTGTACAGAGCAAAGTGCAAAGCCGTCTTTTTGACACGTCCTTTTTTGTGTCCCTTACCTGCGAGGCGATGAACGAGGCGGAAGCAGTGGTGGTCGGCGTGCGTGTGCGGCCCTTTCAGGACAGAGCCGCGTGCCTGCAAGCTCGCAGGAGGCTACCGTGTTACCCAAAACTCGTTTTTAGGCACATCGCTTTTGTCGGAGCGCTCGAATGGCGCAAAAATCAACCGTTGCGGCCTTGGGTGGTGATTCATTACTCTGTATCATGGGGAATCAGGGAAGCAATACCGCAACACCTCAGATAATGGCATGGTTCCTGGTCAGAATTGCGTTGTGTCATGCCAGTGACGACTGAGGAAATTCAGAACAATGCATCCCTCTGCATCAGCATGAGCCAGAAGTCCACCTCCATCTTTGATAGCGCCTTGCCACACGCCCTAAGGGCAGCTTGAACTGGCTCTGGCAAAGGCTGGCCTCAGAAGATGGCTCGTTGAATCTGTGATCCTTCGAAGAGTCTTTCCTAATGGTGCATCGATTGTGCACAAGAATGTCAGGTTTAATTGTGTCTTCCATGCTCAGCACGTTGGAAGCATTCAGGAAGCTCTGGGAGCCAGTGCGTTGGGACCCTATCCAGGCATAGTGTGTGTGTGTGTGTGTTTCCTGCTTCTGCTGTCGAGGTTCGGGGAAAGACACCATGTTCACCTTTGATGAATCTTTCTGGAGCCACGATGGCTATGAGGAGGACCGGACTGGATACTTGAGGCCAGGCTTTTCTGCGGTGGCTGAAGGCTTGGGAATGTGAGCCTTTGGCCTGAATGTGTCCCCTGATAGTTTACAAAGCGGACGAACAAAGCATTTGGCATAGGCCTTAGGATACGAATCGCACGGCTCATCGCTTTCGGCTTGCCAGGCCGAAGCCTGGTAGTCGCTACGCTGCCGGGGCCCCAGCCGAATGAAAGAACTGAAGGTGATCTGACCACAAGCGGGGGTGATGACCATGGTCCCAACATGTCCCAACTAGGTTAACTGGGTGGTTAGTTCCCTTATAATGGATCGCGTCCGGTTTCCTCACGTGGATTGAGCATCCACGGTTAAAATCAGAGGCAAAGTCTGAGATTTTTTCGGAGGGTTGAGCTTTGGGAGTGAAGCCATCCTTGCCCGTCAATGCTTCCTCCCATATTCCAAGGCAAAGGTGCTTATATTGCTTGAAGTTGAAAGCATCAAGCATTCAATTGCATTGCCATTGGAAACTTGAAACCTAACGACCCTTGCAAATTAGGAGGACCCTGGTCAGACTGCGCATTTCAGTAGTTAGCCATTTGGGGCGGGGAGGTCCTAAAGTGTTTCCACAGACGATGCTTTTGACATGAATGTGAAAGGACCAGAAGTATGTCTTTGACACCTTCGGCAAGCGGGTGCTGGACAATGCCTGGGGAGGCTACCACTGCTGTCTCTTCGCCTATGGTCAGACAGGCGCTGGGATTTCCATGCCGATTTTTCCATGGCTCCGCGTTATGTGTTGGGCACGGAGGCACGGGCACCCGACACGCAGCACCGACTTTTTCCCTAGGCATCTTACTGATTTCCGAATGATTTGGAGTCTGAGGACAGTGGGATCAGCGCGTGTGGGTTCTTGACAAGAGGCACGTCCAGAAGCCTTTTAGACGAGGAATCCAGGTTCATTTCAGTCCCTCGGCGTCCTTTCCCTTCCGATTTCGGCTGGCACCTCGGTTTTCTTTCCCATGTGTCCTTTGTTGTTTTCTTCTTTTTTTCCAGGCAGCGGGAAGAGCTACTCCATGGTGGGCCAGGGCTCCAACAAAGGCATCGTGCCCATCAGCTGCGAGGAGATCTTCCGGCGCATCGCCGACGACGAGGCGGCCTCCCACTCCTACGAGGCGGACGGGGCGGACGGGGCGGACGGGGCGGACGGACGGAGCATCTGGAAAATGACCAAAAAGCTTTCGGGTGCAGATCCCTTGAAGAGGGCCGGATGGTTTTTTGTTTTGTTTGACGAAACGGCTTCTGGTCTTTGCACGGCATGTGTCAAAACCTGCGGCCAGTGGCACTGGATTTCATGTGGAGGTCATGGTCTCTGCCATTGAGATCTACAACGAAGCCGTTCAGGACATTGAGATTGGCTTTGCATGCTGTGCGAAGCGTGCAGTCACACAAGCCAAGAGTAGGCAAAGGGTGGGCGTGTATCGCAAACTGAGCTCTGCTTGCACGGGTCTTTGCAGGTTCCGTCAAATACCTGGACCTGGGTTACAGAATTGTTCTTGGCCCTCTCGCTTTTCAGAGGACCTCCTGATTCCTGTGGAGAGCCGGCCACGGAAAGGCTTCGAGATCCGTGAATCCAAGATTCTAGGTGCGCACACCTTCATGTTTGATTTGCCACCCGTGAGAGAAGTGGAAGGTGTTGGCCAAGACTTGCAGTGAGCGGTTGGGTCGAATCATCGGGTGTCCGATAACTGGGGGAAAACAAGAAACAGTCGATGCCTCGTACCTGGTGATTCTGGTGGCCCACGAGACGTCCCCCTCCACTAACTGCCCAGGTACAAAGCAAACTTCTCAAAAGCCTCGTCACATGTGTCCAGCTTTGACTCGGAACGCTTTCTCACAGGTGTTTACATCGATGGCATCACGAAGAGGCTGGCTTCGACCCAATGCTAATCAACGCTGTGCGTGAACTCTTGGCCAGCTGCACGGCTTTGAGCAAGGAAAGATCATCACCCACTCCCTGCCAAGAGCAGAGCACGACACTCACAGCGGGTTTGTGCTTGGCAGGCCAGTGGACTCATACAAGACCATCCACAACACCATCGAGGCGCTAACGTTTAATCGCGGACGCGGTTTGATATCGGCCATATCGGCCTTCCGAAGTCACAGAGGCTCCAATGCACGTCATGTTCCACTGCAGGAGGCGACGACTCACCGGACGGTGGGCTCCACCCTCATGACCCTCGGTGAATAGGGCGCAGTGCAAGCCATCGAGACAGTGGGCTTTTTGGTTTGCTCCAAGGACTCCTTTTTCAAAAGGCCGAGGGCCGGGCAACCTGAGGAACGCCACCTCCAGTCGGGCACATACGGTGCTGATCATTGAGTTCAAGACGGTGATGGCTGGCCTGGGCCTCAAACATTGAGCAATACATTTGCTTGGTCGTCACGGGTCAGATTCGGCTTCGGATATCATAGCCCCCCAATCAATGCTATGTGGAATGTGGATTGTTTGCTGTCATGGATGTAGGTTCAACCCGCGTCTCCATGATCAACCTCGTCGATTTGGCCGGCAGTGAGAAGGCAAGATGAATAGGAGTTGCAACTCCTATCGATGGCAAACTATTTTCTGGGAAGTTGCAGAAACAATGCCAAATAGTTCACAAAGGATTGTAGGTTGGAGAGAGCTGCCTCAGCCTGCATGGTAAAGTAAATCCACACATATTGACCGTTCTGAGAGGCTGTGCATAGCCCATAGTGGCCTGTAACTCTCGAAACTTTGTTGTTGAAAGCGTTTCCGCTTTCGCCTCGTTATTGAACTCTGTTCCGTGCTGCCTTAAGCAAAGCTTGCCCGCAGTGCACCATGTTTCAAAGCAAACAGTTGTTGCAGCTTCCGGCAAGGTGAAACAGACAGGGGCGGAAGGCGAGCGAATGAAGGAGGGTGCGATGATCAACAAGTCTCTGTTCCTCGGCAAGGCAAAGATGCGAGCAGAGCACGTTCACTTGGAACGAAGCTGTTTCTGGTTGCCAATGTTGTATGGAGCTCTGATTGCTGCCATTGACTTGGCACCTTTTCTAGCTCCAGCGACAATTTATGCGCATAACCACAACAGCCGCGCTGCAAGAATCTCTCTCTCTCTCTCTCTCTCTTTTTGTGTACTGCACATTCCATATGATCTGTGTGCCATCAGGTACACCTCCATTTCTCTACAATTGAGATATTCAACAGATTTCAGGGATGCGTAATTCACAGCTCGCGAAGAACAGTTTGAAGTTTAGCTATACAAAACACTGCAAGTAGGTAGTATGGCAATCATGTCCACTACCTCACGCAAGACTTCCAGTTTCTCACATCTCTCGCCGATTCCCAGTCGAGGTCTTCGCTCGATGCGTTGACAATGGGAGCTTACAGGGAAGTCCGGGTTCGGGGGCACGGACGCCTAGGAGTACCTTGGGCAACGTCATAGAGAAGCTGGCGGAGAAGTCGACAAACCCGAAGAAGGCCGCGCTCCTTCTTTGGCGTGGGGGTTTTGTATGGGGCTTGCTGATCATTTTTCACCGCATGATTGGCACCAGGCAACGTGTTTGGTCCGGTTTGCGACTCGTCTTCGATCGACTTGCTCATTGAGTCTTGTGCAAGACCTTTCCCTGGTGACTTGCGTCTGTTCTTTGCTTATTCTCGGCTTGCTTCTCTTGCGCATGGAATCAGCCTGGGAATGGACTCTCTGCATTTGGGTCTCGACTTCAGGCTTGTGCTTGCCGCTACATTTGATGGAAGGCTGTGCTCGTGCCGTACCGGGAGTCGAAGCTGACCCGTCTGCTGCAAAACGCGCTAGGCGGGCTCGCTCTTTGCACGACTCTGCACGGATTTGGGGGATCAGGGACGTCAAGGTGCAGACGCCCGCGATGTCTGACTAAGCCCAGGTTTCCTCAGTCTGGAATTTCCTACAAAGCTTTCAGCTCCCCGACTTTACGACTTTACGACTTTAGCTGGGGTGTTGGCCCAAAACCTCATGGCAGGGGGCTCCAGCAAGACCATCATGATCTGCGCCTTGTCCCCGGCCTCCTCCAACTACGAGGAGACGATGTCCACACTGCGCTATGCTGACAGAGCCAAGAAGAACCTTGGACCAGTCGCTATGTGTGTGTGTGTGTGTGTGTGTGTGCGTGTGTGTCTGTGTGTGTGTGTGTTTGTGTCCTGCCTAAAGTGGACCAAGTAGCAAGCCTTACCTTGCATAGCGTACGGATGTTCTTCAGCTGAGATGGGATTTCTCGGGAAACGAATCAGGTTCGAAAGAACCACATTATGCTGTCATGCCAAAGATGCTGTTCCATGGGGTTGTTGAGTGAATTGGCATCATACACAGATTGACAGCAGCTAAGGATCAAGAACAAGGCGGTGGTTAATGAGAACCCACAGGAGCACACAGACACGTTTTTGGGTGGGGTCCGGTCACAGATCAGGAGTGGCAAGCTCTTGCTCCAGCCAGGAGAAGCTGATGAGGGAGCTGATGGCGTCTCGGCTTGCTCCGGGGCTTGGGACAGAAATCGGAGAGAGTGCCAGTCTGGTTGTGTAGAACCACAACTCCGGCGCAATCGACATTTTCTGCCCGGAGCCTTTCTCCATACTTGTTTCTACACGGCTGTTTCAATCGGGGGTTGTCGATAGGCTCCCTTTAGTTTCCCTTTCATCAAAGAGCCCGAAAGAAGGCAATCTGCCCCAACAAAAAGGGTGTTGCACGGGTGCCAACAGCGCCAGCCGGCGGTTTCCGAGGAGGAGAACCAAAAGCTGAAGGAGATGATCTCCGGCCTGGGCGCGGGCCGGACCTTCGACGCCCGGACCTTTGAGGACCTCGGCCGGAAGCGCGGAGCTCGGAACAACGGCTGCCGGGGGGGAAAGGGGGGGGATGGTCCTGGTATTTCCGGTTTTAGTCTCAACTTTGAAGCTTCATGTTGCCGTCTTGAGGCTTTACATTGCATGTACCCTCCAGGAACATGAATTTTACGTGAGAGGAATCGATATGCGCGCAGATCCGACTCTTCCCCGTCCCCCCGAACACAATGTGCAGAGCACTACTGCTTCTATGGCGCCGTGCAGACTTTGTGTAAGGCCACTGCTTTTTGTGCCAGGCAGCGGGAAATCGCGGAGGCCGAGGCTGCCTTAAAGGCAGGGCACCTTTGCACTCCGTTGGGATTCTCACGACCTCAAGTCGTGCTAGCCAGTCAGCTGGTTGTAGAGGAAGTGCATGTCGATGTTGTCCAGGCAAACCCAAAACTACTGTTTTATTTGATGTTGTCGAAGCCGTAATTGAGAAGTTCTATCCTAGAGCCTTGGGCATGCACGTGACCCAGTTTGTCGAAAGTCTGCCTTGTGGCTGCGATGTCCCGATGCCAAGCGCTGGGAATCGCCAGGACATGCAGAAGACCTTCCAAGAGCGGCTTCAAGAGGAGCGAGACTTCTTGGGATGAAGATGGGCTCTCTTGAAAGGAAAACCTAAAAGCTGATGTTCAATGGTCTAATCATTTTGGAACCAGTATTTGGCCCAGGGTACCGCAAGACTCCAAGCCCGGGCGGAACAGGACCGGCAGCGGCAAGAGGAACAGGGGCGCCGACGAGGAGAGGGGAAGCGACTGAGGAATCGCCGGGCTAGAGTCGCTTTCCACTCCTTTGCCTCAAATAGTGCAACGTTACAGGCATATTCATTCGCGAGCAAGACTCAATAATAAAAATAAGGCAAGGACGCTGGCAGCGATCATGAGACTGCAAACAATGAACATGTGTGTGTGTGTACTAAAGTAAAGGACCTGCAAAGCTTGTTGGTTTAATTTCGGTTTCCGTTTAGCACCATCGAACAACGTGGGGCCGGGTTTCTTTCTGAGCGCATGTCGGTCGCTCGGACCGTGAACATAGGCACCGTGGTGAACCCCATGGTGCCGATGATCGTGAACCTGAATCAGGATCCCCAACTGCAGGGTCGGGTGACTGCCTTAGCTCAGCCGAGTGTCGAAAGCCTGGTGTACAGTTTGGACAAACGTCTCATGTGTTTACGTAGGAGTAACTGTAGCTACACACGCAAGATGCATATTTTGATACGCGGATGGAGAATGTTTTCCTGTCACAGTGGAAACCACATCAGAAGCAAGCAGCATTGAAAAGCAGGACCACAGTTTGGGAGGGGCCCCTACTAGCAGGATGCTTTCAGTGCCAAATGCAGCAAAGCGTAGAACCATGCATCCATCTCTTTGTGTGCCGTTTTGTTGTGTCTCTCCCCTTCACCCTGTGCCTCTTTCACATCTCTGTGGCAAGTCAAACTGCCAGGCATTGGTTGATCTTACTGTTTCCTCGTCCACCAGTTGTTGAAGGATTAGTGGTGCGTCACCTCTGAAGGCGTACATGGAAGCCACACGTTTGGGCAATGATGGACCTGGACAAGTCAGTCACGAATGGTTGACAGGTTCAGATCACACCTAAAGCCACATATTTCCTATTCGCGTTTCAGGTGAAGCACTACTTCATGGAGGGCAAGACTGTGATTGGCTGCGGCAGGCACCAGGAGGATGACTCCGACTCAGAATCCGCAGCTTGGCACAAGCCCAGCTCGTTTCATGGGATCCAGTCTGACCTCTTAGGTTGCCTTGGGGCTCCGACGAATAGAAACAGAAGCAGCCCAAAGAGCTGCAGATGCATCAGCATTTCCGAGGGCAGCGACAAGTCAGAGAGCACCAGCGAGGCGAGGCGCCGTGGGCTGACCTTCACCCGAACCCAGTTTCTGCCATCAGTTGAGTGAGCACATGGCTCATGAAGCATGTTCTGATGCAATTGTGCTCGCAAAGGGTGCGACATGACGTGTTTTGAGGAGTTTTTCCAGAGGACTTGAGCACTCTGGCGTTTCAAGCTGCGAACCGCATGGAAGTCAACGACTTTTGAGGCACTCGCAGGCCCCGCTTTGTACTAGGGCCAGCAAACGCAGTGAGCCATCAGCACTTTCCAACTCAAGAGGAGCGAAGCCGTGCCTGGATGCCAGGAGAGTGAGGAGGAGCTGGAACCCGACATCACACTGCTAGGATTTGGCATCAAGAGGTGCGCAAGGAGAAGGGAGGCCTAGTTTAGACATCAAATAGAATCAACAGCGTTAGCTTCGACAAAGGATAAGTCTTTTCTTGTAGCGTTTGGCGTTTCGCTTTCGACTTGCATGGAGCCAGGGAGCACGCTATCGTGGTCAATGATGGCGGGCGTTGCATCCTCCGCGCTCTGAACGAGGATGCCGCGAAGGCCTTCTGCGCTTTGAAGACCCTCTTGCTCGGTTTCCCTTCAAAGTTATCAAAAGGAGCTCCTGGGCATCATTGTGTGGCGCGTTCCCTTGTGGCATTGGACGCGAGGCCACCTGCCTCAATGGCACGCCGCTGGATCGGCTGTTGGACATGGACCCTGTGGGGACTGTGGGGAGGGCCACGCCTTCTGCATTAAGTGTGGCTGCTTGCAGCCGATGGTTGATTGTATTGACAGAGATGCTGAAGCATGGTTTGGTCCGATGCCGTGTCCAGCTGGCTGGTGGGCACTCTTGTGTTCTGTTCACTGATTTCACCAGCCTTAAAGGCGTCCTTGAAGCTCTAGCGTGAGTCCTTGGAACTGCTGGAAACAGAGCCAGTGCAAGGAGCCCAGCAAATGCCTTCAAGAGCAGATCGAGGGAGGCTTCTTGCTGACGCACAGCGATCGCCTCATCTTTGGCCACATGGTATGGAAATTCGCGGGGTGCGTTGCTTTTGTCCGAATTCACCTAGGTTGGTAGAACATATGTGAACACCCTTTGATTCTCAAGTTATTTTCAGGCACACCTGCTGGGAGACCTTGCACGTTTGCCACAGCCAGCCCCATAGGGCGCATTGCAAGGCAGATGGATCATGGATCAGGTTGACGAATGGACACGAGCCTTTCTAGCTTCCGCATGTCAGTTGAGACCTTTGCAATGTCAAAGAGTCTCAAAGAGGCGAGCTGAGGGCCCTGCTACTTTGTCTTCGTGGATCCGAACACTGGCACCGCAGAGGCCCTCATCGCTTCTGGAGAGGTGGACTTCACAATGGCCCAGCGCCCTGGCACAGGACATTTTGGTCCCAAGTACATGGAACGGGGATGCCCGCTAGGGCTAGGGAAATGTCATGAGAGGCTGGGGCCGGGATCCCGGATTGTTTTCCTGGTGCAATCAATCCCTGGCTGCGGGCCAGAAGTATGTCTATTGGCGTTTTGGCACACGGCCAGGTCTCAGGGCCGACTCAGGGACTTGAGCAGTCAGCCGGTCAGCCAAGGATGGAAGAGAACCGGGCGAAGAGGCGTGGAGCCCCACAATCGAAGCAGACTCTCAATGGGTTCGAAATGGGTCTCAGGTCTGCTACGGAGAAGCGTCTGCGCAAGAGCCTCTACTCTCCCAGCATGATCCTGCCAGGCGGCCATGCACTTGCCATGCACTTGCCGCTTCCGGCGCGTTGTGCACTATGTCAGAGGCCTGAGGTCTGTCCAAGCCACTTAGCGAGCAAGCTTATTGCCAAGCTTATTGCCCGTTTTGCGATCGCCCCTTATGAGAGCCTTGGCCTTTGCGACCTTGGTTTGGCTGAGCTGGCGACTGTAGTCTTGCCAGCTGCCGGATGCAACCGTGCTGCCGAGGAAAATTTCAAGCAGGGTTGGCGAGAGCACAGATGTGGCAGCGAGTTTGATGTAACTGACGTGGCCTCCACAGTAGTGAAATGCTGGTCCAGCCCTCATCTATGTGTTGCTACGGTTGTGAATTTGTTGAGGGAAGTGGTTGGTGATGCTGTTGACACTGACATGGCCTACAAGATGATTGTCGTCAACATGGAAGTGACCTTGAAGGACGGTGTGACTGCGAAGGCTGCTTTGCTCACAGCCACACAGTGCAAGCATTGTCCGACCTCATTCTTTTGCTGGCCTCGGCCCAACAGGTTCAGGATCTGTACGGCATACAGCAAGATCAGCCAAGACCCTCCTGATAGCCCCCTGGAGTGTCACACCATCAAAAACAAGTGCGGTACGGATGTCTATGTCGCCTACGGCTTCAAAAGTGGGCGAGACTGGGTGACCAAAGCGTGGTGGCGTGTTTCTCGTGGCAGCGAGCACAAAACCTGCTTTAAGCGAGGACAGTACCTCTACGCGCACTTTGACTTTGTGGGGGATTCTTCCGATTCACAGAGTGACGCCAACTTCAACATTGGAGATGACGGAAGCTTTTGCGTCAGCAACTCCGAGACCACCATCGCAGAGCGCGAGACGAGTCCGAAGTTCCATGATCGCAACTCGGGGGCTACAGCGAACACTTGCTCGGGCTTGCCAGGGGCGGAATTCAAGGGCTTCGAGATGATTGACGACGGTGGCTATAGCTCCTCGACGCTCAGCTCTAGCTGTCCGGGGCGGAACTTGCGCAACGGGGCTCTGGAAGTTGGCCGCAGGGAGAGGCTCGTGTTGAACGAATCCGTGAAGGGTTTGAATGTGAGTCATGTGAGCAATCACAGTCCGCTTGTGGTTCTTGCATATGAAGGGACGTGGTTTGTGCAACCACCCGAAGGACGACCTGCCAAGTGAGCTGAAGAAAACGCACACATCAAGTTTGTTCAGTTTATTTAATTAGCCCATGAGTCTTGGCACACTGGAACCGGCACTTGCAGGTGCCGTGTAATTGTAGTGCCGGGCAAGGCTCGTGTTCGGTAGCACTGTGGAGCAATCTGCCGACACTTTTTAATGCAATGCTCCTGCTCGGTAGCCCTCCTGTGGGGTAATCTGCGGGGGTGCATTACGATAATCTTTGTACAGAAGTCAGGTCCTTGTGTTCTCCTTCCGGAGAAAGGGATTCTGCACATTTAGACCCACAACAGACAGGTGGTGATGACTATGAGGCTTGTGGCAAAGTGCAGCTTCGTCAAAGGCAGAGTTTTCCAGTTGCTGCTCCACTTGGCATCTTCAAATTGCCTGTCAATGCAATGGCTGGATTTGGCAAGACGCTTATTTCGTTTGCAGTGCATTCATATCCGGGGCCGTCGCGACTTCAACATGTGCAGGATTAGAAGGTGAAGACCAGCTGCAGGAGATGGCCAAGGACAGGGCGCAGGGGTGCAGATGTTCAAGCAATCATACTGACGGAAGCCAACACAAAACCAATCAAGCCAATGTTTGAACGTTAATAGGGAGCAGTCCCAACCAAAAAGGTCCTATTGATGCTTGACATTGATCGTTGTTTGTTGAAGACCCGCATGGTTTGTTTGGCGCATTGCTATAGTATGAGATGTCAGACGAGAAACATATGTCCAGTACACTTGACACGGACTGCCAGGTTTCCTCCCAAAAATAGGAGACCTCACAAGGGGGGAGCAAGTGGTATTGCTTTTGGCCCATCAATTTTGTTTGAGTCTGTTTCGATCCCCTCAAACTCGCTCCTACTTAGCAAGACGTTGCAGTCAGCCCCTGAGCCTTTCTTTGATCTCAAGCCAGCTGACCTGTTGTTCAGCACCTTACTGGCAGAAGTCGCATTTGATTTTTGCCTTACTCAGTACTTATTGCTCCTCAGCCTCCCTGGCAGCTCCTGACCTAGTTGTCAATGCTGCGGAAAGCTGAGCTTGAAGCTATTTGCACAGGCCCATAAGAAGAGCTAAAGAGGGGGGAACCAAAAATACAAAGCCGAGGAGCTGGGCGAGGCCAGGAGAAGGCTTGAGCTCAAGGAGCCATCAGATCGGGGGCGATCGGAAAGCGCTCGAGAGGGTCGACGAGTTTCGAGCATTTTTTTTTTTAAATCCTGGGCGCAGGAGCGTGGCCAGAAGCATGCTGATTCTAACCACAGGCAAATTCGCAAGCTATCTAGAAGAGACAAAACGGAGGATTCAGGGGATGAAGGGTGGAGAACTCTTTGGGCAGCAGAAAGCCGGTTGCAGCTTCTGCTTCATGAAAAGACCTGCTCAGGCAAACCCCGTTTTATCCAATGGAGATCGGAAACCGGCGCGAAGGCTTTCCCTAGTTTGGCTACCTCTGCAAATTGCCGAAGGGCACATGTCAAGTGGATGGTTTATCCTTGCTACCTTTGCAGAAGCATTGCAGCATTCATCTTTATTTGCGCCATGACCAAAGCACCCCTAGACTTGGTAGTTAGTAGGTATGATCATCAACCCTTGTTCAAGTTTTAGACGGCCATTATGATGGCTATCAAACATCAATCACGATCGTGGCATGCAAAATGATTTGATCCATGGCCAAACAACAACGCACTGAAGTACAAGGGCCTTCGCTATTGCTGTTTTGGTTGTAAGAACAATATGAGGGACCAGAAGCAATCCTTGCGCACCATAGGCACCATCAGAGCTATCGCTTGCCATTCGGGCGTGTCTTCTTCCAGGGCGAAACCAACCTTTCGGTTTCCAAGTGAGGCCACAACAGGAGCCTGAAACGCCTACTCATCGTTATTCAGCATTCGCATTTTTTCTTTTTTTTTAAACATCTTTCCTGTTTGTTGTTTAAACAGGCGGCAAACCCGGGAACCCATGTCCTCAGGTCCTCAGGTCCTCAGGTCCTCACGTCAGGACCAGCTGCTGGTGGCCAAGGACCAGGAGCTGGAGGAGCTGCGCCGGCAGCTGGCCGTGCTGCAGGGCGGGGGGTCCCAGGGCGCCGAAGCGGCGTGCCGGGCCCAAGTTTGCGTAATCGTTCCTCGTGTTTTTTCTTTTTTCCTTCTTCTCGTCTATTTTTGTTTTGTGTGTGTTATTTGTTGTTGTTCCGTTTCTTGCTGGTCAGTACTTTTAATTCATATGAACATGGCAATGTATGATTTGGCTTCCATATATTCCGCCTTGGGGCAGGTTTAAGCAGCACCTGTGTTGATAGGTTGGACATATGGATATCTCCATCGATATCTCTGATGGGGGGGGGCAAAGGAGTGAAGGCAGGTTCTCATCACGCAGGATACAGACGCTTGAGATGATTCAATTCCGAGTTGCCAGTCCAGACTGACTGAGCACATTGAACTGAGAGACATCGCAGGTAATCCAGAGGACCAGGAGCTCCTCTACGGGCGCCATGAGAAGGTGTCCATGGTCATCGACAGCACCTTCGAGGACTCAGATGGGACCGTTTGACCGTCTGCCTAAATGGCGAGCTCACCCATCGGGGCTAAAACGTCACCATGATGCAGGTCCCTTGGGGATCCCTTATTGCAGGTTTGGGCATGATAGAAAATGCAGGTTCTTGTTGCATGAGAAGCGGAGCACGTCTCCAGGGTATAACTTCTGGGTTGTCTTCTATCGGTTTGCGGTGGAACCAAAGTCGCAATGTGGGACTCACCTGGAGAATGTGTCATCCGGGTTTCCCTTTTGGCTTCTCTTTAAACATGCGGGTTCCTGGTTGGGTACCCAGGGGTACTGGGGTGGTTAGGTTCAGGAACTTCCACCGACCGTAGGAGGCCCTGGCGCAACTCACTGCGCTGGAGGCGATGTTCTCCTCCCGAGCACGGACCCGTGGCAGCGTGTGACGTGCCGTTTTCGCGTAGAAAGCTTGGAATCGGGGGCCGGCAGTTCTGGCTTTGTTCCTTTGACCGCTACACATGTTTGTGGTTGCTTTCAGCCTTCCGGTGCCCAAGAACCCCTGCCAAGCCCGCCTAAGTAAAGCTGACGCGCAATATAGCTTGATGGCATCCCTTTGACCTTGTCTCTTTCTCCTGCCGAGGACATCGAGCTCCCAGGCGAAAGCGGGCGCGGCGCTGGCATAGCAGGCTGAAGGACCACGGCATGACTTCCGGTTGAGTTTATCCGAGTCAAAGTTGTGAACGGCCTCATCCATGCATCCACCCAGTCATTCAGAATTCATGCATCCATTCAGGAGTTTATCCATTTATCTATTCTTCCGTATTCATACGCTTCTTTCCGAGCATCAGATGGCGTATTTTCACAGGCATGTAACCGGCATGTATCGTTGAAAGCTAAACGCGGAACCAGTATTTCGGGGACATGTTGCTGGTGTTGTGTCTCTCAGGCCGTCTCTTTTTCTGCCGGTGGCGCGACAAAGCATCGCGCCGTCGTTGTACATCGACAAAGATTGGCAAAGTGCCACATCCTCGTTTGCATTGGGGTGAGTGCCGCTGGCCAGTGACCAGTGACTTCAGAAGCAAACACCGGAGAGAAAGAGTTGATCTTTCCTTCAAGCGGCACTCGGGAGCCTGTGCGGCACGTGCGATTCGATTTAACTCCACACAGCCAGGATTCTGCGCCTGGCAGCGGTGTGTTTTCGGCCAATGGAAACAATCCCCTCTCAGGTCTGCGTGGTCTCTGTGGGTTCCGAAGCGGTTCTGTTGGCTTGCTTCTCAATAGAACCAGGCTGACGCGAATCTTACGAGCCACCAAAACGTGGGAACTGAAGGTAAATGATAGGACATTCTCAACCAGAATTCGATGCGGCATTGATTCCTTCTATGTAGGAGCCAGCAGGTTTGGCACACGTTTCTTACAGAGAGAACCAATGGGAGAGCTTTGGGAACTGAGGCTGGCCAAGACGGAGGAAGTCCGTTGCTCCACGGCAGGCTGCCCAGCTACGACAGGTGTCAACCCAAAGTGACATCCCATAGCACCTCCTGTTCTGGCTGGAACAAAGGATGGTCTCGTGTTTGCGCACAAAAATGCAATGCGTCCCTTGGATCCACGCAGCAAGTCAGTGACACTGAAGCAATTTCGTCATTCCCACAGTGATGATATTGGTCCACTGTTCAACAGCAGCTCGGGGCATTAACCGCCCTCCAATGTGTCCCTGTCCTTCGGGTGAAACTAGCAACTTCGCACCCTTTTGGGTGCATATTCGTAGCAGGTGATGTAATCAGATGCCCACCACCCGAACGAACAGAAAAACAAATCCATGCTTGTTTGAGATCCGTTCTGCTGCCGCATTTGTTCAACAAGTCATGCAGAAGGGGAGGGAATCACGTCCTTGGAAGACTTAAGATGGGTAAATATCCTTTCCCAACTGATTTTTTGAAGGTGTGTTTCATACCATCAAACGATCACGCATATTGCAGAGGAGTGCGGCCATCCATGCCTGTGCTGTGAGCCTTGGTTGCTGTTGTATTCTGTGGTTGTCGCATTGTAAGCATACAGTGCTGGCAGAGCAGGCACCGTTTTCGGGGGCTAGACAGATGCGGATTGCTGTCCGCAATTCTGTTAGCACCAAGCTCGGAACTGCACCTGAACAGTCCTGCCCATAGATGTCCATGCTACATGTTTGGTTGATCTGGATCTGCTGAGACGTGCTCTGGCCCGAGGACATGCTCTTGGTCAACCCCAACCGCGGTTTTGGTTGGCACCAGGACCAATGACACGTTGGATGTTCAGATGTTGGCCTTCATTTGAGGAAATTGATTGCGCTTCTTGCTCGCCTCAGTTGTTTCGGCCAAAACATGGATTAGTGAAAACCGGGATGAAGAGGTTTCAGATTGTTGCAAGACGGACCGTGACAGGACAACCAGAACGGCCCGATCGACTTTCCGGATGCTGTCCGCTGGCAGCGCCCCTAAGTGATTTCGGAATCCGCTAAAGCTTGAATCCACGAAAACTCGGATCGGTGTGCTATGAAACATAGACTCAAATTCATGCTGATTTGCTATGCAAAGTAGCCTGCCCTGTGCGTAAATTCATGTTCGAAGGAAAGGCTGTCATTGTTTTTCTTTCTCTGTCTCTCTCTCTCTCTCTCTCTCTCCCTTTGTCTCACAGACACTGTTAGGTGGGTGGCAATGGATGCCTGTGGCCAGGCAGGGTGGGACAGGCAGCACTTGTCCACGGTCAGCACTGAGCAAGTCCTGCGATCCTTGACAGAGTTTCTTTGTCCGTTAAGCTTCGGGTCAGCAGAGCTGTGCCTACGAGTTCTGTGCAGCATCGGGACACAGCGGGGACTAACGGGGGACCGCAAAGGGGCTGGGGGGCGGACCAGCATCACTTTGCGTCACGGCACTTGTGCGAACTTGGGCTCAGTGCTTTTGCCAGGATGGCTTTGGCGCCCCAGAATATTTGCTGGGCTCCCATCGTAACGGGCCCTTGGCTCAGCGCTGGGCTTGCTGTGGAACGGATCCTAAGCTTGCGCCCTGAATTGCTGTATGGCAATGGTATTTGGCTTGCGAGCAGTTCATTGTCAACAAATTGCCGGCACAATGAATTGGCTTGCCAATGCGGCGCCACTGCCCTGGTTTCCGGGACAGCAGACGCAGAGCGGGGGTTAAGTCATCACACGACTCCTCGAGCCCGGTGGCAATTGGCGCATGTGTTATTCTCTAAAATCCATTCTCTGATTGAAGGATATTGAAGGCTGGA